AGCGGAAGCTTATTTCGTCCCTAGATCCTGTCCTTCTCTGTCCACTTGGGACGGCCGGGGCACAAAAATTGTCCACTCAGGGACCTCCAAAGGTCGCACCAGCGGACACTTCATTCACTCGTGCGGACAGGGGAAGCAAATGTGACTTAGCGACTCAACAGTCCCTAAGTGATCATCCAGGTCGCAGAGGAACAGTGCTATCCAAGCATCTTGCGCAGATGGAGATCCAAAAGCCGCTTGAAACTTTCTTCAGCCTGCGCTGACGACGGTTTCTGGTAGGCTGTTGCAATCGTGTACCACCCGAGTAGAAAGGGCGACGGCGGAGCGGACTCGGAACATCTTCGGTTTAAATACTTTCCAATTGTGACCCCTTGTTGGGCCTTTTACGTTGAGTTGGAGAAACTGCCGCAGTTCATTCCCCAATGCGCCTGTTGAAGATGAGGTCCCCACGGCGGCGACGGCAGTCCAATGAGAAAAACTTCATCACTTGTACTCGAAGAGGATAGCGGAAATCCCGAGGTCCGAAGACAGACTTTGAGTATCGTCTCTGGACCCTTTCTATTAGGCTACATTCTAACTTTGAACGCGGGATCCTAGCCGGTACACCGTACTGAACACTAGATCATACGTGAAAGGTGAATAGTAGCTTGAAGGTCTTTGGTACCATCCGAGAGAATCATCTTCTTATGGCACCTCACATCCTGTTAGAAGCGGCCACTCCATAGTGTGTCCCGGGTGGTTTTTAGGTCCGAGGCAATTAGTACACCTAGGTCCTTGTCACGGGCGGCATTCTTGAGGAGGAAACCTCCCATATGTCGGTCCGTAGCCTAGAGATAACGAGCTTGTCTCCTAATCTTGCGGCGGTGGGGTGGGCGTCCTCGCGGTATACTCAGTCTGCATTCGACTGGTTTTGGTTGCAAGGCTGCGAAGCGCCGTTACGGTGTACACCTGACATTATTTTATTTTATACAAACCCCGCATTTTGATAGATGCCAAGCGAATCCGCCGCACCAATTAGAAGGACACAACCTTTGACATAGTTGATAGGTAGGCCACACTTGGTGGACCAGTCGTGCAGTAGATCTTGCTTGGCCTGTAGTTTATCAGCAGTATGGACGTCCGAGACCTCCAACCAAAGGTTGAGGTCATCAGCATAAATCAGGTATTCGCTTTGAAGCGTTCCGGGAAGGTCGTTGATGAAAAGTTCAGTTTGAAAAGTTCAGGTCCAAGGACAGATTCTTGCGGGACCCCGCTGGTCATTAGCACTGGCTGAGAAAGGATGTCATTCACTCGCACCTGTATGGTTCTGTCTTCCGAAAACTAGGTCATGCACATATATAAGCGTCCACTGACACCAATTTCCCGGAGCTTGTGCAGTAATCGCTTACCTGGGACCTTATCAAACGTCTTGCTGAAGTCAACGAAGGCAATATCTAGGCGTTTGCCGACATCTATTAATTTTGCTCACTTTCTCTTCGTCACCAGTAGATCGATAGTGCAGGAGCGTCCCTTCTGTAGGCCCTGCTGTGTAGTAGAAGTGATGTCCAGGTCAGAACAGTGCTTCTGTAGTGCACTTTTACTAACCTCCATGACCTTGGAAAGTAACGATGTCAGACTGCTTGGACGATAGTTCGTGGGATCAAGAGGTTTTCCTCCTTTGTGCTTTGACATCACTATTCCCGATTTTCAGTCGGCGAGTAGACACCCAGCTTCTAGAAAGAGCTGAAAAATTTGTCAGTTGGGTGTGGCAATGTTATCTGCCTTTGTCTTGAAGAAGGGGATAAAACCCGTCAGGACCAGGTGACGAGTTAGTATCTAGCTCGAGCACTGTTTTCGCAAGTTTCTGCGTTGAATTCCTTGTCCTCAAGACGGTTGAGATCCGGACCATTGAGATTGTTGAGCGGTGGGTCTTGCAGTGCGTAAACATGAATAGTGTTGAGCCAGAAGGTCTGCTTTCTCGCCGTTTTCGTATAGAACAGATTCTGTTGTACTGAATATCAAAGCGGTTGTGCCACAGCCGACTTTGGTCCTTTTGTTAATATAAGCGTAGCGTTTTTTAGGTCTGGACACAGACTGTTCTACCAGACTACTCATATTGTTGCCTCTTCTCCCAGTTTTTCGCAGCACATAAGTTCCTAAGCCTCTGGTAGTTTGCATAGTCGTAGGCCATTTTAGTATATTTGAAACAGTTCCATAGTTATTTTCGTTGATTCATTAGAAGCTTTAGTTTTCGATCATTCCAAGGAGTTCTGGTGTGGGGCTTTTTTCTTGCATTTGGAACCATCTTCACTGAACTGGCTCATTTTGGAACACCAAAGTGTCCAAGGACTATCTAGGTCAAGATTTTATGGGGTATTCCAGTCCAACATGCTAGTCTCGCTCTTAGGCAGGTACGATTGGTGCGCCAAAAGTTTCGGTGATAAACCCTTCGGTCTTAATTGACAAATCCTCGCGTCCACGTAAAGACGAGAGTACAGTGATCACTATGCCCAATCGGTGATAGAGTGACCAATCCAGAGTTGTCACAAGATACAGGTGAGAGCACCAAATCAACAATGTGGGGTGTCTGGCCTTCGAATATTCTGGTGGGCATGGAGACCTGAGATAGGTTGGCATTAAGGACTGCTTCAAGAAGACCAGCATCAAGTGGCTTTGCGGAAAGTTCGCAATGGAGAAGATCCCAGTCCATATTAAGCGCATTGAAGTCACCCAATATTAGGCGGTCCCTGCCACACCCATAGGTTTTGAGTAAATCCAAAACGCGGTTGCCGTTACTCAACGGGGTCTTGTACACTACCCCGATGGTAAGGGGTTTGCATGCGTCTTTGATCCGACCCCAGAGCATTTCTATACCGTCGTCACTAATAATCCCAATGGTATGCACCTGGAGTTTAGATCTCCAGTACAGTATTACATCGCCCTCGCTTCTTGCCCCATTGCGATCCACCCGTGGGAGCTGATATCCTGGGATATCTATCTCTCCATCCGGTATATCCGAGGATAGCCATGTCTCTGTAAAGGCAAGCAGGTCTGGGCATAGCTCCGAAGTGGTACAGAGAATTTCGTCCAGTTTGTTCCCGATGCTCCAGACGTTGGCAGATATCACCCGCAGTCCAAGTGTTGTCCTTGATCTTACGACCCAGGCAGGACTAGGATTGATCTCCAACGACCTCTCTGAGTTCTCTCCACCACGCAAAAATCCACGATGTGTAGATTACTTCTTCGGGTTTACAGTTCATCAGCGGTCATTTCCATTTCGACACGGTGTTCTGGACAAAGAAAGTTTGTCCCTTGAGGCGTGAGGTCCGCTTAACAATGCGGCAACATTCAGCTTCGTTTTGGAAGACTATTTTCAGTGGGCGACTTTTAGAGGTGCCATCCTGCTTTCTACCATGTCGAAAAGCGAAGATAATGTTGATCCCAGCTTCTCAATCATACCATACGCTTTAATAAAGCTTTGTGTGTAGTATTCTCTCTGCTGGCTTTGGGTTGTCTGATTCCGGAGCGTTGACGATAATCAGACATCCTTCACGAGCAGGGGGACTGCTTCTCTTGGGCGCAGCCAGCTTTTTGATTTGCGGGGTTGTCATGATCAGCTTCTCTAGCCCGCACATTCTGTCCAGGACGTGTTTCAGCTGGGGGCGTAAAGAGTCCTTCTGGGTCTTAGGCTTTGTAACCCCTTTCCTTTATTCTTGCGGCCGGCTGTGCTTGAGGTGGTAGTCGCTGATGTCACACTGTTTTACTACTGTGGCATACATCTTCATCGCTGATATTTCTGCAGCGTTTGTGCTCGCCACAGCCGCATAAATCCTCTTCTCTATTTTTGACTTAGTTGCATCCTCTACCTTGAATTAATAGTGTGCTCTCTGAGGAATAGGAGGAGATTCGGCTTCGATTTCGTGCTGGATTGCCAGGTCGGACGAGCATCGGTGTTTCTGCCAGCGTAGTGTAGGCACGGTTTCTTTTCCATTTGGGCGCAGAGTAACCAGACCCAGGCAGACACACAGATAAAACAGGTGTTTCACTGTCAGTTGGACAGAGCTTGTGCAGAAGCAGTAGGCACCCTGAAGGGGCATAGGCTCGTCGGAAGCTTTTTCTCACTAACCACTGCTAGACACTGGTCGCAGTGAAAGCTCGTCTTTGGAGGCAGTGAGCTGAAGACATTGGTTGAGATAATGACATTTTACAGCATCCTATGTGCGTCTATCTCTCGCAGAGGACTGCTGATGCCCAGGAGGTGACACCTTTTCCACAGTCCACGCACTTGGATATTATAGTTTCCGAGAGCAAAATTCGACAACTGTCACATTTCGTTAAATGTGTTTATCCAAACACTTTTCTTCACGAGATACTCACCTAAAAGGCTCGGAAGTATAGCACGCCAGGAAGTGGAGTTACAGCGTAGTACTCGCACACGGTGGTTGTCCGGCCGCCTACGAATTATCTCTTGTCTCAGTCCCCTCGGTCTAATACAACCCACGTACGCCCAGGATACGGAAGCCTTCGGAACCGGACGTATACTACTTATTTTGCGATCCTGCCAGCTCATAACGCCAGTCCCTGAAGCAGGATTGCAGCTTTTGCAGTGATCACTAGCATTCCCTAACGCGAAATCGTCCGAACCCATCACGTCAACAGGTTGACACGGGTCAGAGCTTTTGTATGCGCTGAGAACAGCGCCTCATAAGGAGGGAGATAATGTAGCGCGTCGAAATGCCGCTATAGCAAGCCAACAGATAAGATGTCGAACGTAGCCTAGATTACGATTGTCGTTTCCTCTTCTCTTTACCTTCCCATTTCATCTTCAATCTCCTAACGCAACAATCTCTCCTGCTTGTTTTCACTTCATGTAATTACCTCACGTCCGGTCCTCCATCAGCGGCTGTGACAACGCCATCCAATTCTCCACGAAGTGTAACACAGGCACACCATCCATCCAGCTCCGACTCTTACTAGGTGGTTGTCCAGCCACCTGTAAAGTGTTTCTCTTGCCTTTCAGCCCCCCTCGGCCTATTTCTACTCACGTACCCCTAGGACACGAAGCTTTGGGGACCCTTAACCGGACGCATACTACAGCGGAACACGGTCCCCTCGGCGCTGTCTTCCCACTTCAAGGTAGCGCCTATCTTCTAACCTTACTTGTAACTTGAACTCAGTCTACAATTCAACAATATCATAACGCACTGGCCCACCAATTGTCAGTGCTGAATGAGTTCGATGAGTCGAACACTAACTGGAATCTTCACAAGTGTGCCACAAAGAATGCCTTTGACGCTTGCTGTGCACCCGATTTAAATCGTCGTAACTGTGAATGGATTTCTGAAGCATCGTTCAGTTTGATCAAGGATCCTAAACCTGTTCCGATGGGCGCTCAGTTCCAGCATATCCGTAACTCTTTGAAACGACGTCTGACAAGGATTCATCGAGTTGACCGGGAACGTTGGTGGATGGCAAAGGCCCGTGAGATGGAGAAAACCGGTGCTATTGGGAACAGCCGAATGCTATTCCAACCCATCATGTACACGGGTCCAACAAAGCCATCAGTTAGCGTGATACCCGTTGAGAAAGATGGACAGTTAATCCCTTCTCAGCTTCATCGACTAGCCTGTTGGATCGAAAATTTTGAAGAGCAGTTCAGCAGGCCTGTTGCAGCACTGCCGTTTGCCGTATCACTTGGGTCTACGTGGGAAGTTGATTCACGCCTTCCAGTTTGGACAAGATTTGATATAAGCTTTCCGTGTTGAAACGAAATAAGGCTCCTGGACCCGACGACCTTTCTCCATCTTTGCTGGAAGATGTGCGGACTCTTCGTTGACTGGACTTGCTTCACTTTTTTATACGGTTTGGGACACTGACGAAGTGCTTTCAGACTGGCAACTGTTAATTGTCGTGTCCATCATCAAGAGGGGTCAACGTACTTTTTGCGAAAATCCTCGTGACATTAGCCTTGTTTCCATTGCTTCAAAACTTCTCACGGGTCTCATTCTTCAGCGACTTACTAGTCCCCGTGAGGACTGAATCACTGAAAGCCAGGCTGCCTTCCGCTCTGATCTCGGTTGCATCGACCACATGTTCACTGCGCGCTGTTTTAGAGCAAAGACACATACAGACGACCGTCGCAAAGAGATAGGACCTTAACGTAATGCGACAGCTTGCGTGCCTCTTTGACCCATTGAGCTTTACTGGATGGTGTCTCCGGACCCCTTGAGTGCCACTCCTACCAGTTTGATCAATGGTTAGAGGTCAGACAAACTCAATCTCCTAGTCCTCCAGGTTGGGGGTTTGAAATAGGATGGCGTCTATTTCTGTAAAACTAACTCATTGCCACCTCCCCGCTGCCCTGCGGCCAGGATTTTGAGCCAAAGACTTTGGTTAAGGACCCTAATCGTCCTCGTGTCTAGGTCTGGGCGCCCTGGCATTATCTCAGCCCACATACAACCATTTGTTACACTCAACCGAAATCAGAACAACAGTATTGCAAATGGAAGTTTAGTAGAAGCAATGGCAATAGTACATCGGCAGTTCACACTGGGTACAGCTTAACTGTTTAGTTTTACGCAGTTCACATGTTTTAGCTAAGCACTCGCTTTTGAACCAATCAATAAGCATCGCTGGTTAGTCGGGATATGGACACTCCCGCACTAGCGCGCACAATGCAGCTCCACAGGCTAGGTAGTGTAGCATGACCTTGACTCGCTTAAAGTCTGTATCACTTCCCCCCCCTTTAGTTGGAGCTATCCAGCTTGGAAACGATCGACCGGTCGGCGTCGGCGCTCAGAGCGCCGCAATTGTGACTCAGCTACCGGTTCGGCGTCATGCACGTGCATGTCGTTCGATGCTTGAACTGGCTGCTCTGTCTCGGCAACTGTTTCTGTGTCGGACAATCTCGGTCGCACATGATCTAAACGGCGTCGAACGATCCTGCCATCCTCAGTCTCTTCTTCTCTTATCTGTCCGTTAGTTGTTTTAACGACGGTTCGCTCCCACCCCGAGCCTGTAGGTAAGCGGATGTAGATGAGATCTGAATCTGTCACATGCTTGTCTCTGCTACAAGCATGAAAACGCTCTTTCACTCGTTGTTGTTTTTCCGCAACTTATGGCTCAATAGATCCATGCAATAAATCCAATCGTGTACGCAGTCGACGACCAAACGTTAACTGTGCGGGGCTTCTGCCTGTGGTCTCGTTTGGCATCTTTCGATATGCGAACAAGGAACGATCCAAACACACACACAGCGGAGCATTTGGTTGTTTTATTAGCAGCTTCTTCACTGTTTGTACGGCTCTTTCCGCCAACCCATTAGAAGAAGGATGATAGGGTACAGTTGTTATGTGCTTAATGCCGTTCGAGTTGAGGAAGTTAGAAAACTCAACACTGGCGAATGTTGGTCCATTGTCAGATACTAATGTCTCGGGAAGGCCAAATGTTGCGAACGTTGTGCGTAGTTTCTCTATAGTACCAGCTGAATTTGCTGAAACAAAAATATGGGCATCAATCCATTTAGAATGGGTATTGATGATTAGCAAAATCATTCGACCTTCGTGGGGACCGAAATAGTCTACGTGGACTCGTTTCCAGGGTGTTTCTGGCCACTTCCAAGGTTGCATTGGTACATGAGGAGCGGCGTTTCGGGTCTCCTGGCAAGGTCTGCAACTTCCCACCTTCGCCACAATATCACGGTCTAATTCAGGCCACCACACATAAAATCGAGCTAACGACTTCGTCTTTGCGACACCTGGATGCGCATCATGTAGTTCGTCAAGGATGCGTGACCGAAATTTCTTGCGGACGATAACTCATGCGTCCCACAGCAAGCATCCATTCTGGATGCTGAGTCCAGACATCCTGTTACGGAAGGGCATGAGTTCTTTGGGGTTGTTGTCCGGCCACGCAACTTGGACATAGCGTTTGACCAACGATAGAACAGAGTCTCTGTCAGTTTCCTGACGTATGTCTGTACATGTGACTGGGGAATCATTAAAATTCTGGACCAGGTTTACGAGCTCTTGTGGGATAAATTCTTTCGATGTTGTCTCTGGTAAGGGAAACCGGCTAAGAACATCAGCGGTAGTATTCTGTTTACCTGGAACGTACTGAATTTCCTATGTATACGCAGAAAGAATAAGCGACCAACGTACCATTCTAGGTGAAGCCATTTTTTGAATACCTTTCTCGTGGCCGAGGAGGAAAACAAGTGGTTTATGATCCGTATGGATCACGAAAGGTCGCCCGAGTAAATCTTGGTGAAATCGAGTGGTGCCGAAGATGACAGCGGCTGCATCTCGATCAAGTTGAGAGTAGTTCCGTTCTGCTGGTGTCAGGGTTCTTGAAGTATAAGCAATGGGACGTTGAGAGCCGTTCGGTAATTTGTGCATTAAAACAGCTCCGAGACCGTAAGGTGAGGCGTCACAAGAAAGAACAACAGGCTTCTGCGGATCATAATGCACAAGAACATCTGTAGATGCTAAGAGTTTCTTGACCGCTTTGAATGCATTTTCATGAGTATTGTTCCAATTCCAGCTTTGGTTTTTACGTAGCAGCTGGTGAAGCGGATGCAGATGAGTTTCTGCCGATGGTATAAACCTGGAAAACTGAGTGACAACACCGAGGAACGACCGCAATTCATGAACATTTTTGGGTGCTGGCGTCTCAAGTAGCGCCTTTGTCTTTTCTTCCAGTGGGCACAATCCTTCACGTGACAACCGATAGCCAAGATACTGTACACTCGAAACAAGGAACTCACACTTTTCTCTTTTTAGAACCAAACCGGCATCCGATAATCGCTTCAGGACGACGTCCAATGTATGTAAGTGCTCGGCGGTAGTTCGTCCTGTAGTTAAAATGTCATCTAAGTACGCACATGTGTTTGGTATATCTTTCACGAGTGAGTCAATAATACGTTGAAAATAGATGGAGCCGAGCTTATTCCAAAAGGCATGCGTATATAGCGGAATAGTCCGTGATGAGTACTAGTGGTGGTGTAGGTGCTTGATTCCACATTGAGTTCAATTTGTTGGTAGGCATGACTCAGATCTAGTTTTGTAAATAGATCACCACAGGAAAGGGAAGCGTAAATGTCTTCAATCTTTGGTAGCGGATATCGGTCTAATTCTAACGCTTGGTTTATCGTAACATTGTAATCCCCGCAGATTCTTATCGTACCATCGCTCTTTAATACTGGCACAATGGGGGCTGCCCAGTCTGAATACTGGACGGGTTCAACGGTACCTTCCAACTGGAGTCGGCGCAGTTCACTTTCGACCTTATCACGGAGGGCATAGAGAACAGTGTGGACTTTCCAGAACCGCGGTTTTGTCTGTGGTTTCAATACTAGATGTGCACTGTAATTGTTTAAAAGTCCTGATCTCGACTGATCAAATAAGACTGCATGCTTCTGCAAAACCTCGGATAACTGCGGATTGTCTTTCACCAGGTTGACGTTCGACATTATGCCAGGAAGGCGCTTAATTCCATCGCGGCCCAGGATGTTCGGACCCGGTCCTCCAGAAACGTACACACACATATGACTCGTTGAATGACGGTAAGAAATGCGTGCATTGAAGGTACCAAGCACATTCACCATCTGTCCCGTGTAAAATCGCAACTGTATGTTCGGTGGACACAGCTTTGGAAGTTGGGCTAAGGCGTCTGGTCGGATCAAAGTGACTGCGGAACCAGTATCAATTTCAAACTCTACCGGTTGTTCGTTTACTTGGACCGATACGGTGTTAATCCAATTCTGGTGCAATTCATCAGTAATGCATTTTGTAGCCTTAGATTGTTCCTGGACGAGTGATTTCCGCTTGGAAAGACACACTTTCTGAATATGACTTATTTTTGCACAAAATCTGCATAGGGAATGAATGTGCGGACAGTCAGTCGGGGACAAGTGATTCTCCCCGCAACGGTCACAACGAAATTCCTGGCGCTATACGGGGCGAGGTAAGGCATGTCCACGGTTAGTCTGGTAGATCTTGTTTACGTCATGTGAGATTGATTGATTTGAAGAGGGAAATGTGGCTAGTTCCTTGACGAGGTTGGCACGCTGTCGGACTACATCACCTGCTTTCTCCCACGTCAGTAGCGTTTCATCTTCGGAGAGCAGACCTTCTCGTGCCTTCTCATCGAAAACACCCACGATTAATGCCTGTAACAGCATCGCTTCTTCGAACTGGACTGGAAGGATCTGATCATAGGCGCAGTCAAGGAGAGCAGTAAGGAGACGAGAGATAAACTCATTTACAGTCTCATTTTGTTGTTGTCGCATGGTGCTGAATTTATACCGTGCGGTAAACACATGGGGCTTTCCCCCCCATATTCGGTCCAGGGAATAGAACACAGTTTTTAGGTCTCGCTTCGTATGTAATTGTAAACTGTCGAAATGTCGTTGGCCCGAGATGGTGGCGTAGTAATTTAATTTTCGCTGCATCATCAATCGTGCAATTTCCGCCAAGGAGCAAAAGCAAATCAACGTAGTTAGTAAGTGTAGTTTTTCACTGCAACCATTGTTGCGCAGTAGGCCTTTCAGTAGAAGAATTCCAAAAGGGTTGGGGTGCCGTTATTGAATTTGCCATGAGCAATCAGAATAACCTCCGTCGCCCAATTGTTACACTCAACCGAAATCAGAACAACAGTATTGCAAATGGAAGTTTAGTAGAAGCAATGGCAATAGTACATCGGCAGTTCACACTGGGTACAGCTTAACTGTTTAGTTTTACGCAGTTCACATGTTTTAGCTAAGCACTCGCTTTTGAACCAATCAATAAGCATCGCTGGTTAGTCGGGATATGGACACTCACGCACTAGCGCGCACAATGCAGCTCCACAGGCTAGGTAGTGCAGCTTGACCTTGGCGCGCTCAACGTCTGTAACACCATTATTATTTCCTCGAGTTAATTGCATCCAGCATCGGCCGTCGCGCAGCTCATCAAGGGTCGCCTTATCTGCTGCATACAGCAGGGCGGATAAGCGTGAACATGCTACTGTTGGCGCCTCCCTTCTTTCTTTTCCACCTGTTTCTCTTATTCCCATCCCAACCTCTATTACTAACCTTCCTTCCATACTTCATAGCTTAATTGACAGCAGAAATGATGCCACTAAAGTTGAAACATCTGCGGCAACCTTCCGCGTCACCCACTGGACGTTTGTCGCCAACAATACCTTATTAAGGCCACGCTGTTCCGTTTCCCTGTCGGCGTTCAACGTTCGCACTTTAACACAAATAGGCTAACAGGCTGCACTCACACGCATGTTGGCCACGCTGGGTATTGGCGTGTGTTGCGTACCCAAAACTAGGACTAATGACTCGTGGGGTTGTTGAATTAACTGCGCCCGGCTTGTCCTCTCCCTATTGGTTGCAAGCGTCCGAAGACACTGATGTGACAGCCTCTGCTCAATCTGGGGTATGTATCGTACTCAGCTCCAAGGCTGAGTCCTTCTTGGTTGGTTGGATTCCGCTGAACAGCCGTTTATGTGCAACCCGTTTGGCGACATCGACTAAGATTGTTTCACGAAGTAGTACAAAACGCCGATTGTTTGTGATTTCCGCTTATGCTCTCGCCGATTGCAGCTCTGATGCTGCCGAGGATATTCTAATACGAACTGAATACGCTACTACGCAGTGCTACCAGTTTAGATATCATAATACGTGCAGGGGATATGAATGCACAAGTAGGTCGCCTGGGCTTTCCAGAAACCCAGCTAGGTGATAAATATGGGCTTAACTCCGAACGTACGGACAACCGCCTGCGTCTTTTGCAACAGTGTGCAGAACACTAGCCAATTTTGGTAGCACTGCTTTTAGACACAGTGGGCGCCGAAGTGCCACTTGGCGTCCTCCTGTAGCTGACCAGCGATGGACCCAAATTGACCACATGGCCATAAGTTACAGGTGGCGTGGTTCCATCCTAGATTGCCGCTCGTACTGGAGTACCTGCGTCGACTCTGATCATGCCTTTGTACGTTGTCGTTTCTCCATGAACTTTACCGCAAGGCGCACAAAGCGTCCCCTCCGATTAGCAACGGAGAAATTGTCCCAGCCCTCGGTCAGGCAAGCCTATCAAGAAGCACTGCATACCGAACTCTCGCTGTCTTGTCCTAATGACACTGAACTTCAGTGGAATAGGATCTCGGCCGCCATGCACGACGCAGGATCATCTGCTTGTGGCACTATCAGTCATCACCGCACCAGTCACTGGATATCCGAGAGGTCCGTGAACCTGTTGGAAGCTAGGAGACACCTCCCGGCTGGTTCTGAACACAATGTGACCAGACGGGCTATTAGACGCGAACTAAAGCGGAGTCTGCGTGCTGACAAGAAAACCTGGTGGACCAGTCTGGCTCAAGAAATGGAGGAGGCAGGAGCAGTAGGCAATTACCGCAAACTCTTCCAGCTGATCCGCACCACTGGTCCCAGAAAACCAGGCGTCAGTGAGACAGTAAGAGACAGCGCGGATGCGCTGATACACAATAATGAGCGCCGTATGGCTCGTTGGGCTGAACACTTTCAAGGTCAGTTCAGGTGGCCTCCTGCTCCCTGGACTTTTCCTACTCCGGTGATGCAGGACGAGCCATGGACGGTTAGTTTAGACGCTCCATCAGAGGCCGAGGTCCTAAACGCGATTACAGCCGTTAATCGTTTTCGTGTCGCTGGCTCGGATTCCACCCCATATGCACTATTTAAAGATGGAGGTTAGGTCCTCTGCAAAGCACTGACCTCCTTATTCGAATGTTTCTGGAAAGAAGAGAGCGCCCCGGCTAATTGGAGCGAATCGATTATAGTGGCAATATACAAGAAGGGCAGTCGCACAAACTGTTCTAACCACAGGGGTATTAGACCAACGCCAATTGTGACAAAATTATTGACCTCGATTCTCGTTCGTCGCCTGATTGCGGAACGGGACTCTCGGATTAGGGAAGTACAGACTGGTTTCCGCCCAGGACGTGGCTGTATAGACCATATATTCACTTTGCGGCAGATGCTAGAGCAGAACTAGGTATACCACAGACCGACAATAGCTGTGTTCCTCGATTTCACGAGTGCTTTCGATTCAGTCGATCGATCGATTCTGTTCGACATACTTGCACGCAAAGGTGTTCCTATGAAATATGTGAACGTTCTTCCAGCTCTATACTCAAACACTACAGGCCGCGTCAAGGTTTACGGTGTCCTATCGGATAGCTTTCCGATCACAAGTGACGTTCGTCAGGGTTGTCCGATTTCCCCGTTTTTGTTCAATTTCGTCGTGGATTCTACCATGGAGTGTTCCCTCGGGGAATCTCACGATGTAGGCGTTGAAGTGCTGCCTGGTGAAAGGTTAGTTGATCTCGATTATGCGGACGATATCGTTTTGCTTTTCGAAAATGTGGCGGCCCAATCAACCCTGAATAGCCTGACAAAGTGATCCCATTATTTGGTATGCATTTCGCACCTTCAAATTGCAAAGTGTTGCTGCAGGACCACCAGCCACTTGATGACCCCTTTACACTTGCTAACGAGGAACTCGAGGTGGTTGATCATTTCACTTATCTTGGCAGCTGCGTCAGCATTGATGGGCTCATAGAAACTGACGTCAGCTCACTCATCGCAAAAGCCGGAGCTACCTTCTTGAAGCTGCGTCATCTTTGTCAACAGAAGGGAGTTTCCCTTCGTCTGAAAGGCCGGGTATACAAGGCCACAGTGAGAGTCGTTCTTCTCTATGGTAGTGAGACTTGGCCCCTTCGGTCTGAAGAGCTGAAGCGCCTTCAAGTCTTTGATCACCGTTGTCTGCGAAGCATTGCTGGAGTCGGATGGCACCGGCGTGTCCGCAACGATGATGTGCGTAGGCGAGTACTAAGTGGTGGTATTCATGCTAGCTCCCTAGACCAACAGATAGCACTGAATAAGTTGCCTTGGCTCGGGCACGTGCTACGTATGCCTGGTCACCGCTTACCTAAGGAGTGGCCTTGTTTAGTCTGCCAGCTGCAGGGTGGCGCAAGACTGGAGGTGGACAGAAGTTGACTTGGCAACGGGAAATGAAGACACTGACGACCAAACTGGGTACCGTTGGTCCGTCTCGCCTTCCGGGCTGGAGTCCACGTGACTCGCTTTGTGCTTGCCTTGAGACTTTACAGGACATGGCTCGCAGTAGACATCAGTGGCGCGTCTGCTGCCATCTAGTCGGATTGCCTGTTTAAAGTGTGTTTGGTGCTGAGTTATCTGTGGGGTAATGGCTGATTATGACGCGGGGCAGTGAAAGCCGCAAGGAAGCTGTCTCGCCGATGCCGCCTTATCTTTGCACGATAGCCAGCTGTTTGTGACGGTATGTTATCTACACAAGATGTAGGCGCCTTGACCCTGAATGTTTGCTTAGGGCATTAAGGTTTTCTGGTAAGTCCCTCTTCTCTCTCTCATATTTTTTATTTCATAGGTCCTCATGGTTGTATGGTAGCGAAGCATCAGTTCAAATGGCTGATGTACTGCTGTTGATGATGATGAGGAGGCAGCTGACTTCAAGCATTGCCGAAATGCTTGGCAGATGGGAGTGGCGATTTACTCAGCTATCGTCTTGAGGATGGTGGGATGCAGTCCGTCCTGGCCTCAGAAAGAATTTGAGTCTAGTTCGAGGAGAATTTTCCTGATTAGCTCAGGGTTGTTTTCGACTTGCTCCAGAGAGGAGTAGTGTGCAAGCAAACAGTTGCTAATCAGCTGAGATTCTACTGAGCAGACCGAGAAATACTGCGCAGCCAGCTGGTTTGCTTTTTTATCATCGCCGTAGAGCACCGTGCCTTCCTTAAAGATAACGCGGGGATTCCACTACCCCTTTGGCATTTCTCTTCTGGTGGACACAAAGTTTTTTGGGACAACTTTGAGATTACATGACCAGTCTGAGTTCATGTTGTAGTCGTGGTCGCGTTTTACGGGATACATAGGTTTCTGACAGCTTTGTACTCATAGTAGCTTGATGTCAGTAATGTGAGCTTGAAATGATCCCGCAGTTTCCGTCGTCGTTTCATTAGGGATCTCATTTCCCTATCAATCCAAAGGGCCCCTTTAATGGTGGCGTGCTCCTGCGATATCATCATGGATCGTTGACGTTTCAATGTGTCATCAAGATCCAAGGAATGCGGTATACTTCAGTCCATGTTGCTTGCCTCTGTTCTTAATCTGAGCTGGTCAGCGCGCCAGAAATCGCAATGTAGTGTCCCTTGATTATGAGTTGTGAAGTGTTATGTTCAAAAAACCAGGCCGTACTTTAGTCTGTCTTCTCAAACGGCTGTATGTTCGTTAGCTCAACGTCGTCAGATGGGGCCGGGGTGAGAACCAGGTCTAGGATGTTTGGTGTGTGACCCGGGACTATCCGTGTTGGTTTCGTGACATGCTGTGTTAGGTCACACTCCTGGAGGGTGTCAGTGAGATCAGCTTCAAAGGATTCCGGTGGGAAATCATTGTAGAGGATCCTCCGTCGGCGTGACATTGCCGTCCGGCTCGCTACGAGATGTAAGTCAGGCTCACCCTGCATCCAGCTCCTATTCTTACTAGGTGGTTGGGGTGAAACTATCTAGTTGCTTGCGAAGCATCTGTTTTACCTTTCAGCTCCTTTCGGTCTATTACTCCCCAAAATTCTCCCCGGACACAGAAGCCGTCGGAACCGTCATCCGGACGCTTACTACAATCCCTGATGTTTAAGAAGTTGAGGGAGATTGCTGGATCTGACAAAGAAGACGTGAGTTTGTACTCGATGCCTTGTTTGTGCTTCTCATCAGACTTTGGGTGCAGTATACACTATGTGTTTTTCTGGGCTTGTAGAGAACTATCTGATTTGGAAGCTGGTGCGACAAACCCTTAATGAACTATATATATATATATATATATATATATATATATATATATATATATATATATATATATATATATATATATATATATATATATATATATATATATATGATTTGGCGGCTTCCGTATCCGGATTTGCCTGTCACTGTGACGTCCATGGGGACAGTCACAGGACGCCTGCGCCTACAAAGGGGACCATGGGTGGCTTGCGCTGCACCACCCATAGTTCCACCCACACACCCCATATCCAGTGTAAACCCGAAGGAATAAGACCGGGAGGCATGCGGATGGGAACCACGTTTCATCAACGGAGCCGGCCCACACTCCTTCAACAAGCAGATCGGAAGCATTCCGGCCTAATTGGGAAACCATACACACCAGACGTACACGAGGCGGTGGCTGGACCGTAGCCCGTTCCACACAGATTGCATGGAACCACTCTTTGAGCCTAGCACCATCACGAGGACGGTGCACTCCGTCCCCTCCAGCGACGACCAACTGTCTCCTGGAGCCAGTATGGACGAGGTAGTGGGTAATAGACAGGTAGGCACCTTGTCAACATTCACATCAGGCGCATCCACACAGGGGTGCTCAAGCAACATCTACTTCTGAAATGCAAGATTACTCATCACGCAGGCAAACGTACCACATACGCTGCCTTATTGGCCTGGATTAGTAAATTGAATGGGAACATACTCATGGTGCTTCTATTCCACATACTGTAGTGCCTTCTCCGGCACCTAAGAAACCGCCCTTTTGAGTAGTTCACGAAATTCGCATCGATCAAATTTGCCTTGGATTCGCAACACCTGAAATCAACATGAGTTTGTCATAAACTCACCTTCCTCATGTTCTGGTAATATTATTTTCGGTTTGCTCGAATGTCGTTCTACTGCACTAAGTTAACCGTACAAAAGCGGTATGAAGCTCCTCGTGGAATTCATTCGGTATACATATAGACATAGATTGGTGTCATCTGTGTCCAATGGCAGTTCGAATGCAACATATGTACATGCGTTTATCCAAACTTAAGTGTGAGCTGTCACAAACTGCATAAAGGCACATTAGACATCATCATCAATGGTATGACAAACGTGTATGGGTTTCGTTTGGAGGTCAGGTTAAGAGCCACTTTCGCAGGTATGAGAATAACTACCCAATACGAACTGTTGATGTTTTCTTCTACCTTTAGACGTGACTGCCTTAAATTTTGGGCATCCATATTTGAAGGAATCCGATGTGGCAATAGTAAAGCAACTGCTAAGTAGAATGATGACTAGACTACTGGTACAGTGAAATAGTGTGCACTTAGGTGTTGCCCTCTACATGCACAGTCTGGTTTGAGTAGCTGATGTGGGAGATCACACAGCATGTGAATGCGATACAGTGTCCACTTCTGGCTCTCTGTGTCTCCGACCGGTTCGGTCATATGCTGCCCGAGGCATGTGCACTTACTCAAAGAACGATTGATACGCATCCTTTGGTATTGACAAGTAACATCAACTAAGTCCCGCTGCCCACTGTCAAACATGCGACTTTCCAAACAGTGTTCACATTTATTGTGCAAATGTCCAAGTACTCAACCGGTTATACCTACCGACCTGTACTCTACTGTGGTCATAAGCTATTTGCTAACGGGCTATATAGTACGTTCCAGGTGCAGCCCATTTGGTACTCATAAAACCATTGTCGCTATGCGCCGATTCATTTCCGATGTTATATAATAACACATTGACGTACCATTCCCGTTAAATGCAACCTTTTACTTAATCCATTCAAAAGATTGGCCATGTGCAATGCAACTTCTGGTAGGCGTCTCTGCACGTCTGCCTTCCATCCGGTTAATACGTGTGTTTCATAGGCCTCCGGTAAATTCAGTATGGCTGGGGGATAACTGGAACTATAACTATACTCACTCTCATCACTAGCCTGCGGAGTGGAACATGGAATGGCAACATCGTGATAATCGCTAGTCGGTTAATTGTCGGGATTGTTCACTTGACACAGATTTTCCAGGGAAATTTCTCTTCGAATGCATAATCCAAAGTGGGCACACGAAGGACAATCGTTGAACATTGTGTTACAAATGTCAAAGTTGACATTTTATGCGTACTGTAAACGGCCAAGCGATGATAACCTTTCGATTCAAACGTATCCATCGAACTGGAAACATACACAATAATTTGCCACCCTAGCATTGATCCGTAGTAAGCACACAAATCGCTCGGAAATACCGCACTCACATCAATCACGAATGACCTCATGGATGGACTGAACCATTATTCTGCGATGCACCGGCTCTCTAAGCATCATACAAGTTAACATTGAGCAGCTAGTCAAGCTACAGTTATGGTGAGCAATACCATGGAGCTGACATAGTGATATGAATCGCGGCCGAATAATCATACGAAAATGAAGATGCCATAGCTCACTCTCGGTATGTAACCTTACTAGACGCCGCTTGAGGAGGTAGCAAGAATAGCATGGCATAGATCATGATGAGTACAATATCGTAATGGGCAACACATGAAGTCATCGCGAAATACAACCGAGTTAAATAAGCCTAAAAAAGTTAGGTTACCTGTGGCTCATCCGTTCTACGCAGGTGCAATAAAGATACCACATTGCACCAAATCAGTAGTTAATCATTCTAAAATGAACTGCACCCAAGCCCGACTTACATGCGGTATATAGAATAAGGATGACACCCAAATGAATGACGGAGATGGCGTAAGCAACTTGTCAATTTAGCAGGGAAATGGTGCGATTATGTCCACTGCAGGCGATCCATGTCGTAAGGTAAAACCAGAGCCGGTTCTAATCGTCTGTTGTCCGAGGTGAGCGTGAATCAACAGGGAGGTAGAACCATCAAGCAGTCCGTCATGTGTTACTATTTATTTCCCCTTGGTCATTCGTTCGGACCGCTAGCATATCTTGACCAATCCATCAGTGTTTAGAATACTACCTATGCCCATGCATTTCGATTCGGATATCACAACGTATATATATATATATATATATATATATATATATATATATATATATATATATATATACATATATATATATATATATATATATATATATATATATATATAGGGCGACTTGCTCTGCACCACCCCCAGCTCCATCCACACCCCCATATCTAGTGTAGACCCGAAGTAATAAGACCAGGAGGTATGCAGATGGTAGCCAGGTTTCATCAACGGAGCCGTCCCACACTCTTCAACAAACAGAGCCAAAGCATACATGCCTAATTTGGGAATCATGCGTATCAGACGTACATAAGGCTGTGGCTGGGCCGTAGCACCGTCCACACTGGATGCATGAACTACTCATTGTTACTAGCATGACCACGAGGACTGTGCACCCCGTCCTCTCCAACAACGAATAACTGTATCTTGGAGCCAGTATAGACGAGATAGTGGGTTATAGACGGGTAGGTACCTTGTCAACACATCAAGCGCAACCACACCGGGAATATCAATCAACAGCCAACACCTGAAATGCAAGAATCTCAACACGCAGACACACGTATAGAACAGATGCAACGACGACTATGTGGCACATTACCACATCGACCGCCTTCTTGACCTGTGTTTTTAAATTGAATCGGAATCAGCGATCTTACCATCGCCGCGCTGATGGTGACTACACATTTAGCACACTCGTCTTCTTTTAGATGTTTGCCCGACGTGGCGACGCTGGTGGCTTGCCAAACCCACTTGACTGAGGTACTCCTGACCGCATGTGCTACAACACTTCGCTCGACGTCGATGGGCTATCTGCTATCGACGCCTGTCGCTTTCGCAATCGACGTATCTTTTCCGCATGCAGTAGTGATTTCACTTGCACCTGGGTAACCACGCTCTTGATATGCTGTCGCCATCGGAGCCGATCAACCTGCATCGACTCCTAACACCTGAAATCAACATCAGTTCGTTATAACCTCACTTTCATCATGTCCTGGTAACGTAATTTCGGTTTTCCCACGCGCCGATTCCCTACACGTGGCCATAAAGCAGCTGTTTCTGTATGCGGGTCTAATCTATGCAGCGAATATGACCGAGCCACAGGTGCCTCAGCAGAAGTATGCGGTTCACTGCATACATGTCATTGCGTCGGAGCACCTCCGTGTCTGCGGCTCGATCACTCCAGTCGATGTACATAATACGACGCAGAGGCTGTTAGTAGAAACGCTCCAGATAACGGACATCCTTCCGATAAAGCGTCCAGGTTTTGTTGCCATATAGAAGAACGAACAGCACCATAGGCTTGTATACCAGCAGCTTCGTCTCAACTGCGAACTGATGGTTGTTCCACACACAACATGCCAGCTTGCCAACTGCAGCCGCCTTCGCTACGCAGCTACGCATCTCGCTCGTCATCTGCAGTTCGATTGTTATTACGCTCCCAAGGTAGCAAAGCCTCGGAGTAATTTATAACACTTCGTCCACAATATATGGTTGGCGGCATCCGGTTTCGGATTTGCCTGTCACTGTGGCAAGCCACAGGACGCCTGCGCCTACAGAGGGACCATGGATGGCTTGCGCTGCACCACCCACAGCTCCAACCACACACTCCATATCCAGTGTAAACCCGAAGGAATAAGACCGGGAGGCATGCGGATGGGAACCACGTTTCATCAACGGAGCCGGCCCACACTCCTTCACAGGCAAACACACGCACACTGTATCTGGGGAAACAAGCGCACATAAGGCGGTGGCTGGACCGTAGTCCGCTCCACACTGAGTGCATGGAACCACTCTTCGAGCCTAAAACGGCCACAAGGACCGTGCACCCCGTCCCCTCCAGCAACGACCAACTGTCTCCTGGAGCCAGTATGGATGAGGTAGTGGGTAATAGACAGGTAGGCACCTTGTCAAC